ATACCCCCGCCTCCCTCTCCTCTTTCTCATGAAAAGGCGGTCCGGCGTATTCTAAGGGCGGTCCGATAGTGTAATTTTGGTCTAGTAAATAACAGTGGCTGTCTAGTAGTACAAGTGGCGGTCCAGCAATAAGCCCATGCGGTCTGGCACTAACAAAGAGCGGTCTGAAAATAGGCGGTCCGGCGTATTCTAAGGGCGGTCCGTCAGTGTAATTTTGGTCCAGTAAATAACAATGGCTATCTAGTAGTACAAGTGGCGGTCCGGCAATAAGCCCATGCGGCCTGGCACTACCAAAGAGCGGTCTGAAAATAGGCTCATGCGGTCCGGCAACAAGCCCAAAGTGCGGTTCGGCAATGTCAAAGAGTGGTCCGACAGTCCATGTAAGCCCACATGAATGTCCAGCAAAAATTAAATTTTTATGTACGAAAAAAAGGTACTTTCGTAAAAAAAAATGTACCTTTTTTACTTGTGAGGGTATTTGCTAAAAAAGTGCATTTTGAGGAAAAAAAGTGAGAAAAAAATTTCGGTTGGGGGTAACTTGTATAAAAAGGTCTAGTCTTGGGGGTTATTTATAATTTTCCCTAAAACATAGTGGAAAAATATAGAATGATACCATGTACCTTAGGTACAACGTGGTCACAATTAATCTTGAATATTAGATATGAAATTCAGTGGCTGTATTTATTCCATTGACCAAGCTCAAACTTCAAAAGAATATTTTCAAACTTTATGATATACTCAAACTATCAAATTTCACAAGGGATGGTTGTAAGTAATTGTGACCACCTTACCGTCTCATTGTATACAATCTCAAACAAAGTAATTAGCTTGAAGACCACAAAGTAATTAGCTTGAAGACCTTGGATGGTTGCAAGTAATTGTGACCACCTTACTGTCTCATTGTATACAATCCCAAACAAAGTAATTAGCTTGAAGACCTTTGTATACCTTGTTCAAGTATGTGGAAAAATAGCATCTAGGGGAGTATTTGCTTCCATTGAGAGGCACGAAAAGAAAAAGAGGATGTCTTATTTGCCCAAAAATAAAGAAGGTGGTCTTCCCGCGAGGAATTGGTCAATAAGGGAAAATTAGAACCAATTTGGTTCCCCCTTCTTATTTTGGTAGAGCCCCTAACCCCTAACCACATTTGTCGATGCTATTTAGGTGGGCTACAACCCGCACCCTTATATATAACACAGGAAATCATATCCCCTCTCTCGTTCTCAGACGCTTCAATTTCCTCAACTCTCATCTCCTTCCTAACAACAGAATGGCCTCCTCACTTCTCTCTAAAACGTCTTGCCTCTCCCCACTCACTCTCCTCATCCTCCACTTCTTCTGCAGCTCGGCTTTGGCACAAAAACCGGGCCACTTACCAAGAAACGAACCTCTCAAGTTCGATTTTGAACCTCCCATCATCGGTTTCGGTAATGAGAAGGTGACCCACCTCCACTTCTACTTCCACGACATCGTTAGCTGCCCAAAACCGACAGCCATACAAGTAGCAAGAGCGGACTCCACCAATAAGTCGGCCACTGGGTTCGGAGCGATCGTGATGATCGATGATCCCCTTACAGAGGGACCTGAGGTGTCCTCTAAGCTGATAGGGAGGGCTCAAGGGATATATGCCTTGGCTGCTCAAGAAGAAGTTGGCCTCCTGATGACTCTCAATTATGTGTTTGTCGAGGGAAAGTACAAGGGTAGCACCCTTAGCGTTCTTGGCCGTAATGCGGTGTTTAGTGGTGTGAGGGAGATGGCCATTGTTGGCGGAGGTGGAGCTTTTAGACTGGCTCGCGGTTATGCCTTGGCCAAGACCCATACCTTTAATTCGAGTACTGGTGATGCTGTCGTCGAGTACAATGTAGTGGTTCTGCATTATTGTAGAACTTGATTTTCTCTTTACCCTATTTTTTTTTTTTAATCATATATTGAAAGGTGTACCCCGTGAGAGGCTTTGATGATAATGCTCTTGCGTTATGTTTCACATAATATACGTATTTTTGTTGGGAAGAAGTCTATGTAAGGCATATGCTATAAGGCATATGTAAAGTAAAGCTGCAATGAAACCGAGAATGGGTTTGGGGTCATAGTGGTATCATCACTTGTACCCTAGCTACGGTTTAGGCTTTCATTCTTATCTAATGCATTTAGAAATCACTAACAATTTCTAAAGAAATGGGTAGGAGCTCATCATTTCTATTGAATTACCCAAAAAAACCAAAAAAAAAAAGAAGCTGCATTGAAACCATGCCTGAATATGCAATTTCGGTGTCAAAATTCTTTCAAATTGATCATCTCGACTTAGGATATTGCTTATAGGAAAATGCAATTTTGATGCCAAAATCCCCTCTAATTGATCATCTCAAACCTAGGCAATTATTAATACGAAAAATGGAATTCAAATCCTGAAAGTAGTGTGTATGACACTTTTTGGACTGCCCATAGTTTACAAATTCCTATTTTAAGAGCTTCAAATTTAAATACTCAAGGGCCATGTAAAAACCGTGTCAGATTGGTGGATCGGCATCTCGGATAAGAGAATCGACCGAATCGGCAAGTTTCATCCCAATTTTTTTTTTTTAAAACATCACTGTTTGAAGACATTTTTCAGTACCATGTGTCCCCGATGTGGAATAAAATAGAGAAGCCGATCAATAAAGCCTGACAAACAGTGGAAATTTCGAAAATTTCAAAATGGCCCCAAAACTAACCAAGATCTTCATAAGGACTCCAAAGAGTCTCCTGCCAAGTTTTGTCACATTCTGACATTTCTAAGTCAGTGTAGACTAAGAAACAGTTTCGGTAGAATCAGCCTCTAGCACCCTAAAACAGACCCCCGTAACTAGAACTATATTTTTTTTGTATGTCAAACAGCTATGGGACCACCTCCATTGGATTTGGCACAGTCGAAAACCTTTATGAGTCAAGTTTCGGCTCAATCAAGCACTCCAAGACAAAGTTATAAGCAAAAGACCGAAACAGGAGGAGCCACACACTATTCCCGTGCGGCCACCCTACAAGTAATCACCATTAAAGGGACAATCACGAACAGTGAATTTTGGGGCCCATATCTCATTCGTTCCGAGTTAGATCCCACTCAAATTTTGTGAGCATGTTCGTCTCGTCAAGATGAGCGTTTCGATATGTGCCATGCGACGTGACGACTCCTGAGCACGAAGAAAAGCTAGAGAGAAGTTGCTGATCCATGAAGAAAGTTGCAGGAAAATCAGCAGCGACACATCTCGTTCAAGAGGCCAAATCGTGGAACTCGTAAACCCGATTGACGTGAAACTAGTTGCATCGCGTGCGGAAGGTCCATGGCTATCGCTGGTACGAACCTTGCGCATGATAAGCGGTCATATTTCACACATGAAGTCGATGAAGTGGTTGTGAATTCCGGCGCTGGAATTTAGGATTCTGGCCAAAACTCAAAAGTTGAGAAATCTTCATCGGGGCATGAAATCGAGGTGTGTTTGTTGTCATGCAATCGTGACCGCATGCTAAGTGTGATCCGGTGAAGAAATTATGGAAAAACATCAAAGAACGAGCATACTATTGATCCAAAATTTTCAATATCCATCCAAATTTCAAGTCGCATAATCGTGGCTTAAAAACACCATCCATGGCTTGAAGTTGGTATATAATCGATCATTATGTCGAGCCCTACAAGAAAACAATCATCTTTTGGACAAGCGGGCACTAGAGAAACCCTGGATCATATATCAAAGCAGCAGGAACTGTTTTGTAATTCCATGAATTGTTAGGAAGGGGCAAATCAGTCATTTTACACCCTATTTTCTTATTTTATTTAATTCAATTAAATCTTAATTTTCAACAATTAGGTTTAATTTTGATCAATCCACCCATGTTTAGGCAAAACTCTACATATATTACGTACTGTCATTGTACATAGACCAGACTTTGCTTAGTAAAATTTCCATCTCTTTTCATTGTTGGGTCAAGTTTTGAGAGAGATAGGAAGGAGTGAGAAACTTTTAGGATGGTACCCCTGGGCTTAAGGTAAATCTCTTTCTCTCTTCTCTTCTTTCCTCTCTTCTGCTCTCTCTTCTTCTCTTTCTTCTTCTGCGTCTGAGCTTTTCTCAAGGGCTAGGTGCGGCAGTGGTAGTGTCACGCTTGCCTCTTTCTTTCTTTCTTTCTCCCTTCATGTGGTTTCACTGATCGTGCATAGCAATGGCAGCGCCATGCGCGAGCTTCTTTCTCCCTCTTTTCATTCGTCTCTATCTTTCAATGAGGTTCATAGACGACGCTGCTCATCGTCGTCCGCAGGTATATCCTTGTATGCCTATCTCAGATGGCGATGCCTATCACTGCCTGTGAAGAGTCGCGCCAATACCTATCGCCATGTGCGAGCTTCTCTTGCACCTTGTGCCTATCATAGACGGCGATGCCTATTGCCGCCTCCGAAGGGTCGCGACGATACTTATCGTCGTTCGTAGGTTTCTCTTACGTCCTACGCCTATCGCCGTGTACTTCATAAGGAGCTATCGATGCGTTCTTCACAAGAGGCTATCACCGCGCGCTTCACAAGAAGCTATCGCTGTCTGTGAAGGGATGTGCTACCTTCTCGTTTTGCCAACGGCGATGCCTAACGCAATCTGTAGTTCACTATTCACCCTCTAGCTGTGAGTAGCAGTGTCCAACGTCGTCTGAGGGCTGCGACACAGTTATTCCACGACTGTGGGTGGCGATGCCTAACGCCATTGGGACCCTCCCTCTTTGTCGTCTTGTGTCGTCTCTTTGTTCTCTTTCTTCACTTTTCTCCTCACCCTTACTTGATTAAGGGATTGACTTAGTTTAGTATTGTCATAACAGTCTAGCTGTCACGCGGTATTGCCGTCGTGTTGGTCTTGACTACCATGCCCCGTCTTGCTGCCACACCAGATTAGGATGGCCTTGGTTTCGAGTAATATTATCGTTGTGCTGGTCCTGAGTACCATGCCTATCTTGCTACCACTCCGAATCGGTCACTGGTCCAGCTATCATGCTAGTCTCATTCCCTTATCAAGTTCTCTTCTCTTTTCTACCTTTATTCGAACCTTCCACTTTATCACCCTGACTTCTCATCTTCTCTTATAGGAACGTGCATTGCCCTAAGACAAGGGTGGGTCCTTTGGCTCACTTGTCTTACAAGTTAACCATGATAGTGTTGTGCAAAAAACAAAGAGATTGCAGGTCAAAGGAGGTGATCCCGGACCAATTGAAGCAGCTGGGGGACTTTCCGTCGTGATCTAAGAGGGCGCCCGCGTGAGTCAACCCGAGTAAGTCACGGACCCAGGTGAGGTTTGTCCCCACCTCATGAATAAAATTCCTCTCTCACTAGTTGGACACCTGCCCTTGTTCTGTGAACGAAGTTCCCGAGAAAGCGACCTTAGGTCCCGAGTCTTTTGAGCCCTAGACATGTGTCACCCGATCACCTAGATCCAGGGAGGGGAGATTGAGGCACCTACCGAGCTTGGCGACTCCACTGTGGACTTATTACCCCTTCGTCGGTTCGCTCTTGCTTGACCACATCACCTTTTACTTTCTGCACTATATTTCATGGCACCTAGGTAATTCAACCCGTTCATCTGAATTGGGGATTTTCTCATCCTCGAACTCATGACCGTCCCAGAGAAACGAGCTTCTCAAGCCTCGTTCCCTACACTCCTCTTGAGTCAGGACTCACAGTTTGGCTCCCATGATCTCTCCTGGGATGGTGTGAGAAGGGACTTGAAGGTCCCTAACTCCCCATTTCCTAGTCTTGGTGGACCCTCCACCAAGGCCCCTAGCATCGGTAGCACGTTTGCTACCACTCATAGCACACACCTTGATACTGGTAAGTCCCTTGCCAGTCATATTACTGAGGTACGTCGAAAGGCTACCTTGTCCGCTTTTGCAAAAGGCAAGCAAGTTGTTATCGCTTCTGAGGGTTGCCGCAAGGCCACCCCCCATACTCCTTCACCATCTCGAACCTCTATGCCTAGAGGCTTGATACACCGAGGCAAAGACACTGGGGCCTCCACCTCTCGTACACACCTAAAGGCTTGTGGTTCATTCACTCGAGCCACACCTCGGGGAAACTTTCATGCTGCCTTGAGCTCGCGTTCAAGACTAGGCCTTCTCAGGGTGAACCCTGCACGTGCTATGCATCTGCATCCCACAGCTCGGGGCAATGCCAATTCTACGCCAACTCAAGCACACGAGGGTCGACCACTTTGTCCTTCCTCTCAACACACAATACTTCACCCTGTGAGACATAGACTCCTACACGGTCCCTCACAGACACAAGCTCGTAGGTCTCGGCCTCCTAAGGTCGAACCGGCTGACCGAGCCCGGCCTGACCCTCATGTCATTCAGATGGCTACCTCCAAAGGTGCACACACACCAATTTCCCAGGCTCCTCCAAGATCCCAACTCAGGCGGAGTCGTAAGCCATTTCCTTCTTCTGTCACCCTTCCAGGCAAACACCTCGAGATCTGGTACTCAAAGTTTTTCCTTAAGAGTACAGTCTTGAGTCAGTCGCCTCAAGATAGCCACGCACCCAGACCTCACAATGGAATTTGGGGCAACGACCTAATATCAGATAGAAGCCTACAGCCTCTAAGGCAGCAACCCAGATTGTCCTCTATCCTTGGACCTCACCCTCTGCTCCAGCTGATGGACACAGCCCTCGAATGCTCAAGAAAGATGGGGCAGTCTAAGTATCAGGATCAATTTTGGACTGAAATCTATTACAGTCCCTGCAGCTCCTGATTAGAGAGACTTCTAAGACAGTTGAAGTTAGCACTCTTGATGTCCTCCTGCTTCACAAGCCCTTCTTCCCTCTTCGGATTCCAAAGCCTGAGCAAGAAGTCCAAGATTGCTCGGTTGTTACCGTCATAAGAAAAGACCGAGCTACAAAAAAATCACGGTCCCAAGACTGTCAAGAACCGGTCCTCACACATCGGCGTATAAGGCTCAAGTCTAGTTGGGGCACGTTAAGCCCCTACAGATCGACTTGCCAC